AAATACTGATACGACTCTTTCTAGGGGACCTAAATTATGCCAAATAGGGGTCGCTATGAGTAGGGGCCGACTCGACGGCACATAACAACAACAACAACAACATAAGGAATAAAAAGATTTGGACCCTAATAATTCAGATTTTAAATTCCAAGCAATAGAGTCCGCTCTGAATGTTAAGATAGGGTACCAAGTTTTTGGTAAAGGTCACACAAGAAATCTGGACTGACATTTCAAGGCCTTTGATCAAATTCCAGTGCTTTCTGCTTCTTTCTTAATAATTTGATATGCAGTGTGCTACTTCCACAACACAGTATCAATTTTGATTTTCTGGTTAAAGGATCACAATGTGTGTGCATGTGTGTGTGTTCATCATACTGACTTTTATTCTCACAGACTGAAGGACAAAGCTGAAAGAGAAGTATAACCCAGCCATTGCCAAACAAAAAACAAAACCAGTCCTTCGATGGAAATACAGTTTTCTCTAACTTGCCAATTTAACTCTTTTGGTTATTCTCTACTTCCCAGAAACAAAGTTGTGTAACTCAGTTTCTTATAAATTGTTTATCTTAACTATAATTGATAGAGATTAACACATACATCCTCTCCTCACTTATCACCTCACTATCTGACATTTCATGTTTGTGACAATAGTAAAAAAATCTACTATCTGACTATTTTGCTCATTAATGACATACATCTGGCGGTAATGAACACTGAGATGTGAAAGGAGAGTATTGGATGGCTGTGGTGGTTAAGGAGTCAACTTAGCCAAGCCATGATGCTCAGTTATTTGGCAGTTATCTAATGATGTAATTTGGCAGTTATGCAATGATGTAACCATCCTCCATTTTGTAATCTGATGTAGTCATCCTTCATTTTTGCATATTGCCAGTTTTCATATATCAACCTAGTCTTTGGAAACTAACTATGTCAATAAGTGAAGAGAGAGTATATTCTGTTTCTTACATGTATTGTACTTTTTACTGACCTTGGTCATATGACTCTTAAAATTCAAGATCATATAATATTTTTCTTCCATATATACAGATAATAAAAGTAAAAGCAGCAGAAGCATGAACTTTAGAAACAAGATATTTGTACATACTGTCCTCCTTTGTTTAGTCTACCAGGGATATTGATACCTCTTTTTTGTTTGTTTTTTTCTGAATTGCAGTAACATCTATTTCTCAGTATTTGTAATCTCAAATATACTAAGAAATGAATAATCATCACAGTATCTTATCGATTTCCAAATTTATAAAACTGATTACTTCAGAGTCTTAGTGATAGTAGTAATTTTATATATTATTTGATCCATCTATTTTATAGCTGAGAAAATTTGAGTGGAGAAATTAAGTGACTTATAGTGTTGTTTCAGGAATTATAATGCAATTATTATTCCATCTTACAAATTTACCATATTATCAAAAACGATGAATTAATTTCAAACTTCCACCTTTCTTCCCTGGTCCTTTTCAATGACTCATTAGACTTATTCAGGATGTGTTTTTGATGTAAAACTATCTTTTTTTTTTTTTTTAAATTGTGATTTGGGTGAAAATTTACAGAGCAAATTCACTTTCCGTACAATAGTTCATATTCACTTTGTCTCATGACATTGACTACAATTCACCACAATGCAACAGCTCCCCTCCCACTTTCTCCTGATAGCTACCTTTTCCCTGTGTCCATCCCTCCATCCCTCCTGCCTGCTGAGCTGTCTCCCTGTGCATGAACAGCCCTTCTTTCTCCCATGATTGATCTATCCAAGGAGTGTATCTACCTCAGGTAAATGTTCAACTCATATGCCTGTCTTTTGTTTGGCTGGAAGCCACAGGTGTGGTTCAATTCCAGACCTGAAAGTCAGCTAGAGGCCATAGTCTCAAGAGTTCTACCAGGCTCTATCAGACCAGCAAACCTGGTCCCTCCCCCCCCCTTTTTTTCCCCAGATGATTTTGAGTTTTGTTCCACATTGTTCTCCCTCTCTCCAGGACCTCCTACATAGATCCACCTCTGTGTGGTTGACAGTGGTACCTAAGCACCTTCTTGTTTTTCTGGTCTCATAGTCATATATTCTGCACATAGCATGGTGTACCAATCACTAGAATTAATTTTTCCATGAATCTTTGGTTTTCTTCGTTCTTCTTTGCTCTGGACAAGGAGAGACCCATAGTTGCATCTAGATGGCTACTTGCAAGCTTTTAAGATCCCAGTCACTACTCGTCAAAGTAGGAGGTGGAACAATGTTTTGTGTAGTATATTATGCCAATTGAGCTTGATGTCCCCTGTGACTATGGTCCCGAGCCCACCAGTTCAACTACTCAGTCCTTCTGGGTAGCTGGCTGTGACCAAGAAGTGACCACAAACTTGTCACTTGTCAGCTCTACTATACACCTGGGAATTCTTACAGATCATACAAATACACTTATAGGACCATTGCCTGTCAACCCTATACATGGTCTTGGGTATACTACCCACTTCATAGAGATACCTAATAGTTCAGCCTGTCGACCCATCTATCCATCCATATACCCATGTTTGCCTTCACTGACAACGCAGTGTACTGTCTGTGCAAAAGAGTTCATCTTTATTGTCTGTACTTCCCATGTACCTCTCTCTGTGTTCCTCTTCCTCAATGCCACCATGTTGATCACTCACATTTGGTACATTGCTTTTCTCTTCACCCAAGTCAATACTTGTCTCTACCTATCTAACAGTGTTCCCTCCCCTCCCCTGTCACCCTGGTAACCAACAAAGTAAATTTCCTTCCATAGATAAGCCTTAGCTTGACTTTTACAATACAATATTTGTCCTTCTGTGATTGACTTATTTCACTCAGCATAATGTCCTCCAAGTTCATCCACGTTATGTGGTGTTTTGAAGATTCTAGGTTATTCTTTAGGGTTGCATAGTATTCCATTGTGTGTATATGTCATAGTTTGGTTATCCATTCCTCACTTGATGGACACCTAGGTTGTTTCCATCTTTAGGCTATTATAAATAGTGCTGTGATGAACATGGGTGTGCATATGTCTGTTCTTGTCATGGCTCTCACTTCTTTAAGGTATATACCTGATAATGGAATGGCTGGGTCAAATGGTATTTCTAATTCCAACTTTTTAAGGAATCGCCATATTGCTTTTACCACAGTGGTTGTACCCTTTTACAGTCCCACTAGCAGTGTTTGAGAGTTCCAATCTCTCCACATCCTCACCAGCACTTGTTATTTTCTGTCTTGTTGAACTTTGCTACTAGTGCTGGAGCAGAATGTTATCTCATTGTTGTTTTGATTTGCATCTCTCTAATAGCTAATGATCGTGAGTCTTTCTTCATATGTTTATTGGCTGCCTAAATATCCTCCTTGGTGAAGTGTCTATTCATGTCTTCTGCCCATTTTTAATGGGATTATTTGTCTTTTTGTTATTGAGGTATTGGAGTTTTCTGTATTTCTAAAGAGAAGTCCCTTGTCAGATATGTTATTGCCAAATATTTTTTTCCCAGTGTGTAGGTTCTCTTTTGATTCTTTTGGAGAAGTCTTTGAAAGCACATAATAATTTAATTTTTAGAAGGTCCCATTTATCTAGTTTCTTTTCCGCTGTTTGTGCATTTTGGATTATGCCTGATAGTATATTTATGCCATATATTAGGGCCCCTAAATTTGCCCCTTGTTTTTCCTTGAAGAACTCTATAATTTTAGGTTTCACATTTAAGTCTTTGATCCATCTGGAGTTAGTGTTTGTGTATGGTGTGTAAAACTATCTTTTTAAGGTAAAACTTTTTTCTAAAAAATTAGACTGAAGCAAGTTACATATTTCATATTATTTCGTATTGTGTTTATAAAATATCTGTATTTTTCTTCAAGCCTACATTGAGGTACAAATATTACCAAAACCAGAACAACCATATCCACTGCCATGAAGTCGATTCCAGTTTAAATTGTTTTATCTTATAAGTATATACCAAAAAAATAAACTCACTATGGTGGAGTCAGTCTTGACTCATAGTAACACCTCCTTGGGTTTCTAAGGAGGCATCACTATGGAAGTAGATTGCCCAATATAAGTCAAATATGTATATATATTTAATGTATAATTATTTAAAATAATTCACAGGTTCTTAAAATTATATATAATACACTTAAATCTATGTTGTTGTTGTTGTTATGTGTCGTTGAGTCAGACCCAGCTCATAGCGACCTCTCCTTGAGTTTCCGAGGCAGTATCACTACAGAAGTAGATTGCCCAAACTTCCTTCCAAGGAGTGGTTGGTGGGTTTGAACTGCCAGCCTTCTGGTTAGCAGTTAAGTTCCTCAGGCATTACGCTACCAGAGCTCCTCTTAAATCTATAGTCTGAACAAATAATTATATGCACACACAGGCTTATGACATATGCATATATCATTGGCTTATATCATAAACAAAACAGGAAAAAAAAGTACAAGATAAAGTTTCTTGATCTAATTGTGGAAAATGATTGGGAAACAGCATCTGATTATGGAGTTTCAATTTAATTAGCGTTAGAACATAGAATTAATTGTGATGAATGTAGTTATTATTTTTCAGCTCTCATTTACATAGAAACATATGTTAGATATTTTTTCCCCCCAGGATACTTTGTGAGCTATAATTAAACACACACACACACACACACTTGCACCCCTAACTCTTATGATTTGTTGAGCAGAATATTACATTCAGACTTCTTTCCAATCAACGGCAGCTCTGATTGGCAAGTTCTAACAGAACTCAGTCAAGGTGAAAGCCAGCCAGCCTTTGCTGGTAACTATGTATTCGTACAGCATATGATCTCTGCCTGTTCAGGCTGCTTCTTGCTCTTGTCTCAGAATAAGAAAGGAGTGCTGCTTTCCTAGGGTGTGCTATTTGAGAAAGAAAGTAATCTAACACTAACTGCAGGCGGGGTCAGAGTGATGTAACAGGAAGCTCTGATGTTTCCCTTCTGCTGCTGATCACTTACAATCTGACAACACTTCCAATCTGCTCAGAACAACCCTCTCTCTCCAGCAGAGTGTCACCTCCTGCTTTAGGATCATCAGGCTCCGCTAACTGGATTGCACTCTCTCTGCTGGATCACATTGCAAGGCTTTCACGCTTCCCTACCTTGCCTGGGGGAAATTCTTCCACAGACTCTCAGAAAATCAAATTCCATCCTAACAACATTTCACCAAGAATTTCTTTAGGATCTGTGCTGGGTAAGTTCATGACACAAATAGATATATTTATTTTGGAGTATATTCTCATGTAGTTTAACAATGTTTTTACTATTGAATTTAGTTAGTGACAGTACAAAAATATTGAAATATATTCTCATGTATTTCACACATTAGAGAACTATATGGTATTAGCCCAAAATGTACACTAAATCTTTTACTCCTAGATACCATTATTTACAGTGATTGTCTAGAAAACAGATTTTACAAGTAATAAAAATCTAAATGGATTAAAGTGCATTCTTCTGAGTAATATCTTAATCAGGGAACATTGTCTTTTAAAATTAGTTTAGTATTAGCTAAGTTTTAATCTTGATACCTGGGAAGGCTGGCAACAGGTTTTTTTTTCTTTTCTTTTTTTTTTCTGGGAAGGGTCTTTAAACTTTACATAAGATCTGTGTTCTAAGAAAAGGATGAAGGAATAACTATTTTTGGGATCTCAGAGTCTCACTCACCCTATGGTTGAGCACAATAGAGAGTTAAAAGGAAAGTAATCACTTTGGATTTATTTTATTTGCCTTCTGTTTGTCTTTTACTCCTATGTACACTTACATCTCTATTGAACTAATGGAATTTTCATTGTTCTTTGTTGTCAGATGTGTTTAAGACTCTTTGGCTAACCTGGATTATTTCCATTTTATGGGATAATGGGGTGAACTTCAAAGAAAAAACATTACAGCTAGTGTTGAGAAAATGTAGATGTTACATTAATTCTTAATTTTAAAACCATTTTGCTGATAGCATGTGATACTTTAACTTGTCTGGAATCCCTCTGTAAGCTTTCAGAACAGGGTGTGATATAGAGATATCAGTGGTCAGGGAAACATAACAGAGATTCTCAAGGAAATATATCAGATCATTAAACAACAAATTAAAGTATATATTACAAGAAGAAGAAGAAGAAGAATTTCCAGGGTGAAACTTACTGAAACATTGAAAAAAACACATCTACTAATGTTTCTTCCAACAGTACACACAGTCCTGGACAATTTTAAAAAATAGTGTCTACTTAATAAACTGTGGCTATGAAGACAACACAAACTTGTTGCTAAAGGAAATAAGATGTCCTATCTAAGTTCAACTTATATTTACTGATCCATCATCTAAATACTATTTTTTTTTTTTACTTAAATGAACTTATATGTACTGTGCAGGACTTCCTTCAATGGGAGCATCCTGTATTTAATTACCCATAATCTGGTAATTACTACTTGGCTGGTTACTCATCCTAAATAACTCTTTGGTAATTTTCTACTGGGGATTCAACATAATGGAGACTTAAAGTGATTCTTACATTTGTAGTTCTTTAAAAATATTGTGTCTGATTTCATATGCCCTTTCGATGTTTACTTATACTGAGCTCCCTGACACATGAGTGGAAATGGGAAAAGGGCTGTAAAATATGACTTTGTAGATAGCCGTTAGGTAATTGGAAGAGGAGGTGGAAAGAACATATTGAAATGCCTGATCCAACATCATGGATAAGGAATAAAAATAATTTAATTTTATTTTTAATTTACATTATTTTCTTAGAAAAATATACCAAGTTAATATATTTTATAATGAGGAACTCACTAAACTTCTCAAATTTTTATTTAATTGTTAGCCCAACAGGCTATAATTTTCTGGTGTTATTTAATTAGCTACCCATAATAATGTGGCTTATAACCTGGATTTTCAAATAATACTATTGAGAAACACTGGGCATTGAACACTGAGGGTGATTAGGTTGAGGCTTACTATTTGAGTAAGTCACTGGAAGTTTTAATTAAGGATTTATATTATTACATTCTAAATTTGATTCATTTAATAAGACAATGTCAGAATATCTATGTGTGCTTTCAGTCATAAAGAAATCAATTAAATTTCTAGATAATATTTCCCCATAGCATAATAAAACTAAGTCATTGAGTCAATGGCCAGCTTTGAACATGTAAACTGAAACATAGAGTTAAGAAATTACATGAATAATATGAGTTCAAGTATGTGTCACCTGACCCTTTCAATTGTGTAAAAGAAATATGCTTTGGTTATTGTTATAAGCTCTCTCTCTCTCTTTTTTTGTATCTTAACACACGCCAAAATGTTATTTTAGAAGTTAAAATATGTGTATTTTTAGAATATATAAACTATTCACCCATTTTGAAAAAAATAAGACTAAAAGAAAAATAAAAAGAATTAAAACTCTCCCTGTAATATTTAACGTTATTTTAACTGAATAATCAAGATGTAGATACTTTATTCACTGGTGACTCCTAGCATATGATGAGATTCAGTGAAGTCAACACCCTAGAATATTTATGAGAATCTTTATATTCACCTGTATATATTATACTGTTCTTTTCATGAGTAGCAGCAATTCATTTGAGTATAAAATTCAAGATAATATTAGAAAAAATGATTATTTATGTGCTTTATGTTAAGTGGAAGAAATTTTTTGAAAAAGGCAAAAACTGAATGAACTTCAAGATGTGGTATCGTCATATATTCCCAATTTAGATTATATTTGGCACCATTATAGAAATATGTTGTTATTAATTTTTATCTATATCATTACAAGTTGATTGCCTTCGACTGTTATAGAAATAATAAAAAATAATAATATGCAAATGATCAAAATAAGTATTCACTCAACAAAACATACCATATTCTATATAGAAGCTTGACTGTAGCTTGGAAAATAATTCTGTTTTTAGAAACATTAATTATGATGTCAACTTTTCAGAAAACAGATATTCAAAAGAGTGTGTTTTTAGCTTTATTCCTAATTTTGTTTAGGATTTTGAGATGTTTTTAATCAATAAGAGTATCATTGCAATGTTGTTCATAAAAGACGTTCTTAGTCAAGTTTATAACACATCTTACTTCTTAACTTAACCAGGATTCTAGAGACTACACCTCAAATGGATAGTGAGTACATCACTATTTAAAACGTTTCTTGGGATCTGGGTCTGGTGACTATAAAGATTGTTTACTGTAGGAAGCCTTTCTTTTTCTCCAAATATACTTGTATCTTGCTGCACTATTAAATTTTTTAGAGAACTCTTCTCATTTAGTAGCTGAGAATATTCTAATGTAATTTACATGAGGGATAAGTCACATTTCACTGATAATATATCAAATCTACATTCTAACCAGATGTATCAGTCATGTACCCATTTATTTACATAGAGAAACCACTCTTGCCCCAGTACTTTCAACAATAGCAGTTATACAACTCAAAGTATCTGGGTAGTTTTCACCTCTTCATTTTAGTTCACCTACCTATATGTTGGTATATTGTATTGAAGATAGATGGTCTTAATTATTGTAAAAGTGAATGAGTAATAGGTAGAATACATTGAATAGTGGAATTTGGATTATAAATATTGAACAGAGATGATTTAGGAAAAAAGAAATTATGGATTAAATATGTAATATTTAAATCAATAGAACCTATTTAAATAACAGGAAATATATTTCTATACATTTTGTTGAAAATCAAATTTAAATAGAAAAGTCCTTCATAAGGACATTTATTATTTCTTCATGTTGAATCTAATTAGGATTATAATATTATTCATATATCATTAAATAGGTTGTTCAACTAATCTCTGCATTTTCCCATATTTGAGTAATATTAAAGTCAAATTATTTTTTTCTTATTTAATAAACTATTTTACAAAAAAGAAATGTGTTTGATTAATACTTAAGAGTACAATGAAAATCTTCCTATAATAAAAAAATATAGATCATAAAATCACTGGCAACAAACTGAGTTAGGTTTTACGTTTATTAGTCTACTAGTATTTTCAGATGATAAATTGCAAATTTTCTTCTAAAACATGTTTCTTCCAAATTTTTTTTCACTTAAATGAGACAGCATTATAATAAAAATAACTGACACACCAAAATGTTGTTTGCATAAATGACCAAAATAGTAAAATTGTTTTAGTGATATAAAACAAGATTTATCTTTTTATTTCATTTTAATTTTATTCCATACATTTGGATTGATGTATGGTATCATTTCTACTCTACTACCAATTTAAAAGACAAACTAGCTGAGCCAATTCAACCTAACACAAACCAAACCAAATAACCTCTATCTATGGTACTGAGGCTAACGATATATATTTTATTAAGGTTGTTAGATGGAGACAAATTCTGAGGAATTTTATTCCCCTTAACATGGAACAAGTTTTTTTTTTTCTTTACATGAAAAAAAAAATGTTAAGATGATATAAATTTTATATAAACTTTAGTCATTCTCTATTCAGATTTAGCTTAACTTGAGCTTAATTGTATCTCTGCATAAGTTATAGTGAATTCTTAGCATATATCATGTGATGTATTCAACAGCAATGTAGGACTAAATAGCTACTGTATTTAACAGTTCTTATAGCTTAGGCACATACTGATAAGCACAAAAGTCTTGGTTTTATCAATCAAATCTATGATAAATTGTCATGTATCCAAATACTGATTTCATAGAGTTTACAAATGACTATTAATTTGAATCAGTGATCACCAAGTAACCTGAGGCCTATTATTATGCAGATATGTTGTACACAAGTCTCAATTTTGCCTCCCTCTAAGCTAATTCGAAGGGGGAAAAATGGAACTTTGGTGAGTAATAGAGAAGAGTAAACATTTTAACGGAAAACTAAAACTAGGGAAAACAAAGTCAATACCAAACTGTGGTATTTATTTTTTCTCAATTCTGTAGTTATGTTCAGATGTGAGGCAAAATAGGAGGCTTATTCTTGCTTAGTTAATGACAACTTAAATTAACAATTGATATTACTTACAATCTACAGAAGTTCCCTTTAAAAATTCACTTTCAATGAATTCTCAGTTTAAGTCTTTAAAAAGAAAACATACCAAAATACTTTATTAGCTAAGAAAAAAATATTATGCATTTGTGTTTTAGAAATTTAGGTATAATTGTTGTTTGAAGCAATTGCTTAGAATGGAGTACATCTTAGACAACATACATGTTA